GGCATCTTCTTAATGGATTATTCTCGTCTCTTCTCTCGATGGAGTTTCATCGATGTAAGTTCTCACTGATCACCTTCCTCTTTCTTCCCCATTTCTTTTCTATCATGCATATGCATTCGTTACTAAATCTTGGAATTTCCAAATTGCAATGAAGAAGAACAACACTCAGTCTTGTAATGGAGTTGGGAATTCGATCGATGAGAAACGAGTGTTGAAAAAATCAAAGAGGTAATAAACCTTCATTTGCAACTAACTGCCTTATCATCCATTCTCTGTTGTTGTTTTTTTTTTTCTCTTTTCTTTGGTAACACTAAATGTTTGATTCTTGTAGTTTACTTAACTGGTTGACTCAACGCAACTTTGACAAGATCAAGAACGAGATTATTCAGACAGTAAAATCATCTCCTTCATCATCTGTTCTCAAGGTTCTTTTTATTTAGACATATCTCAAACAGATCTTCTTTAAAAAATTTCTAATGGTTATGACTTTTGACTACCCCGAAATGTTGCAGTCTCTAGCGTGTTGCATTTTCGATATGGCAATGGTGGACAATGCCTATGTCTTATTCTCTCGTTTATCCATTGAGCTTTTTCACGCGCTTCCTCCGTTTCGATCAGCTGATCAATCTCTCGGTGATTTTACAACTTTCGAGAGACTATTTTTGTCCAAATGCCGAATAGAGCTCGAAAACTCATCACCTAACACAAATAGACCACCTCATGTTTATGTTGATGAATCAAATTGTTTGAAATTCGTTAAGACCGTTCGGATTCTGGCTGAAGTTTTCAAGAACAAGTTGGTCACTGACACAACTCGGCAAAACATAATTCAGGTAATTCTGCCCCTTTAAATCTGTCTGCTGATTAAGAGGTTTCTTGCTATACCTTCTTACATGTAAAATTGTAATATGTAGGTGCTTATGAATCCTATCTTCCCACCTGAGAGGAATACGGATGCAATGAATCTGTTTCTGTCCTCCATTGGTAAACTCGCTGATTTCCAGTTTTGCGATGAAAACTTTAAGCACAAGGTAACATCGATCCAAACACATGATCGTTTAGTTTGGTGTGAGTACATTATCTATCTCTCTAACCCTAGCTTGATTTACAGGCTACTGTAGAGGTAGAGAGCAAATACAATGAAGAAGTCAGGCTAAGGAAAGAAGCAGAAGATGCACTTGCAAGAAAAAAGGATGAGCTAGAGATGTTGAAACGGTTACTTGAGTCTTACAAGGAGGAGCAAGGTAAATTGCAATTACAAACTCAAGCTTTGGAGCAAAAGCACCAAGAGGAGTTGCAGCTTAGGAAAGAAACAGAACATGCGTTTTCTATCGAATGGGAAAGGTTAGAGAAGGTAAAGCTTCAACTCCAAAATCTTGAAAATGAACATGAGGATATGCGTTTAAAGAATGAGGAGCTCGAGAGCAAGTACAAGAGCGAGGTGATTCTAAGGCAAGAATCAGAAACCGCGCTGGAGAAAGAACGGAAAGAGTTGGAGGAGATGATGCAACTACTTGAAACCTGCAACGTAGAACAAGAGAACTTGACCTCACAGGTCAGAACTTGGCAGGAAAAGTACAACGAAGAGTCGAATCTGAGGAAAGAAACAGAGGATACTCTTTCTAGAAATAAACAAGAGCTTGAGATAGTCAAAGGACTACTCGAATCTTACAACCAACAAGCGGATGCGATGAAAGAAGAGAGGGACAATGCTCTCAAATCAGTGCAAGAGCTCAGAATGAAGCAATCGGAAAAGCGTGAACTTCCATCATCGTTTCTCTGCCCTATCACACAGGCAAGCCTATATCTTTACAAGAAGATAACTTGCATCACACTCAATCTCTTAGACTTGGTAGTAATATGTGAAGTGTTTTGGTTTCTATTTTCGCAGGAGGTCATGAAAGATCCACAATTTACCGCCGATGGATTTACGTACGAAGCCGAATCAATTAAGAGATGGTTTAGCACAGGTAAACATACGTCGCCGATGACAAATGCGATGCTTCCTCATCGCAACCTTGTTCCTAACCGAGCTCTCCGGACTGCGATTGAGGAGTTGGTCTGATCCTTCTTGCTTTTCGATCCGGTTTAGTCTTCTAAGTTGAAAAATTTGATTTAAGGACCTATAAATAATGTCCTTTGAATCTATAACTCTATTATTTATGAGACTTGCTTGAATTTGTGATCCAGTTTATAGCTATTTATCAAGTAATATTTTCAGAAGAAAAACAATAATCTATATTATAGCTACTGTTTTGATCGGATTCTATCAAGAGAAAAGAAATCTCCTTCTTTTAGATTAAAATACTCTTTACTTTTATTTCATGAAAACCTTGACCTTAATTAACTAGGCTACGGATCATTAGAGAAAAGGAAAAACTCTAAAAAGTTAAAAAGGAAAATCCTAGATAAATAGAAAACCAGCATAATAGATAATTATGAAATTCTGAATAATGGATTCAATATGATAAATCTTCTAATTACATATTGATGTCTATCAGTGTATCTCTTCGTTAAGATACTCTAAAAATGAGTGTATATTAAAACATCATCGATCGTATTCATTCTATTACACATTCGAGAAGAAAACTTTCAACAGTCTTATTCGACAAAGACTCTCTTCTTGAACCTTTGGACATCTCTGCCTACTTTTCTTGAAGAATCAAATTCAGGTTTGCCTTGCTTTTTTTTTTTGCACATCTTAGAGATCTGCTAATGAATGAATCTTTTGGTCGAAAAGCATAATTGTTTGGTCTCTAAACCCTAGCTTGATTTATAGGCTCCATAAATGGAGAACAGCGAAATCAAGCT